AAGCAATCTAGATGTCCCTCACCCGAAGAGTGGATAGAGAAAATGTGGTACATCTACACAATGGAGTACTATTCAGCAGAAAAAAATAATGGAATCATGAGATTCGCAGGCAAATGGATGACACTAGAAGAAACCATCCTGAGTGAGGTAACCCAGTCACAAAAAGAGAAACATGGCATGTACTCTCTCATATATGGATTTTAGACATAGATCTGGGGAGTGCCAGCCTACAATCCTTTGGCCAGAGAGTCTGGGAAACAGAAACTTCATTTAGTGGCTGATCGAAGAAGAGGCAGACTCCCTTGGTTAAGTACTGAGCTGAACTCAAGAAAGCCAGTAACAGAGAGGGAGGACTGGTGATCAAAGGGATTAAGACTGGGCTGGTTTAACCCCCAGAAACAGCTGACCAGACAAAGGTTAACTCTTGAATCCCAGGCATCAGCCTGGGAAGCCAGCATGGGACTGATCAAGACCCCCTGAATCTGGGTGTCAGTGAGGAGGCCTAGGGAATCTATTGAGCCTTGGGCAGCAGATCAGTACCCATCCCAAGTATACACACGGACTTTGGACTCCCATAGAACAATGTGAGGTGCACTCTCACCCTGAACTCTTGGGGAAGGGTCTAGGCCCTGCCCTATATGAAATGACAGACTATGGACACACCCATGGAGGGCCTCACCCTCCCTGGGGGAATGAGGGGATAACGGGGAGGGGGGGTTGGGGGGAGGGCACGGGAGGAGGGGAGGGAATGGGAGAGGGACCTGGAACTGACTTGTGTAGCAACCTCGTTTCTTATCTAAATTTAAACTGGAAAATAAAAATAAAAAAATAAATAAAAATAAAAGGTGGGGCACAGAACTAAATAGAGAATTCTCAATAGAGGAGGCTAAAATGGCCAAGAGACACTTAAGAAAGTGCTCAACATCCTTAGCCATCAGGGAAATGCAAATCAAAACAACTCTGAGATACCATTTTACTCCTGTCAGAATGGCTAAAATCAAAAACACCGAAGACAATTTATGCTGGAGAGGATGTGGAGAAAGGGGAACACTCCTCCACTGCTGGTGGGAGTGCCAACTGGTACAGCCACTTTGGAAATCAGTATGGAGATTCCTCAGGAAAATGGGAATTAATCTACCACAAGACCCAGCAATTCCACTCTTAGGCATGTATCCAAAGGAGGCAAATTCATACAACAAGGGCGTCTGCTCCACTATGTTCATAGCAGCATTATTTGTAATAGCCAGAACCTGGAAGCAACCTAGATGCCCCTCAACTGAAGAGTGGATAGAGAAAATGTGGTACATTTACACAATGGAGTATTACTCAGCAGAAAAAACAATGGAATCTTGAAATTCGCAGGTAAATGGAAGAAACCATCCTGAGTGAGGTAACCCAGTCACAAAAAGACAAACATGGTATGTACTTACTCATATATGGATTTTAGACATGGATCAGGATAGTGCCAGTTTGCACTTCCACTGATAGAGAGTCTGGGAAACAGGAAAGAACCTAAAAGATATACATAGTACCCAAGAGAAGAGGATTGAGACAAGATCCTCTGAATGGATGGGGAACACAGAGAGGGGCGGAGGGGAGTGGGAGCTGGGAAGAAGAGAGGGGGAGAAGAGGAAGAGAGAGTTGGTCATGGGGAAACAGGAAGGTTGAGTGGGGGGGTAGAATAGGGGGAAGAGGGAATCATAGGTTAGAATGTCTAACTAGTGATCTAAAGGGATGACACCAATTGGCAAGCTAAGCAATAGTGGAGAGACCACCTCGAATGCCCACTCCTGATAATGAACTTGATGTCTATAACAATCCAGGAACCTTCATCCAGTGACTGATGGAAGCAGAGGCAAACACCCACAGTTAAGCATTGAACTGAACCCAAGGAACCCAGTGGCAGAGAGAGAGGAGTGATGAGCAAATTGGCAAAGAATGGGCTGGCAAAACCAGCAGAGACAGCTGATCTGAACAGGGGAGAGCTCTTGGACCCCAGACCAACAGCAGGGAGGCCAGCATGGGACTGATCCGGACCCCCCGAATGTGAGAGTCAGTGAGGAGGCCTGGGCAACCTATGGGGCCCTGAGCAGTGTCTATCTCTGGAATACAAACAGTCATCGTGTGTCCATAACACAAAGAGAGATGCTCTCTCAGCCTGGACTCTTAGGGGAGTGCCTGGACCCTACCCTGAGTGAAATGACAGACTCTAGATATCCCCTATGTGGAAGGAAATGGAGATAGGGTGGGAGGATAGGGGGAATAGGGGAGTGTGGGAGGAGGGGAGAGAGAGAGGGAACTGGGATTGACATGTAAAACAAGCTATTTAAAATTTTAAAAAAAAAAACTCTCTAAGGCTCAGGATTCACAAGGCCCCCTCCTCCACGTTACATACCCAGTAACAATTTGCTGAGGAGAGAGGACTCCTCAGTGCAGCTGTGTGGTGAGTTATGGGGGTGCAGCTTCTTCGAGATATCATGCCTACTGGGGTGGCTTTGAATGGCCCATGTTCCTGTGAGTAAACCCAGTAAACTCACTGGCCCATCCAGATAGACACAGGTGGGATTGTGGCGCCCTGACCAGGAAGAAGAGAATTTTGTTCTGTGACCCAGGAAACTTGTTCCCTTTGTCAATGTCTCATTCTTTATTCCAAGCCTGGACAGGGCAAGCAGTCTTCACCCTTCCTACCAACCAGGGCTCCCCAGAGGCAGGGATCGTGACAGCCCCTTCTACTCCATATCCCAGAGCTGGCTTCTGAGCTCTCTCTCAGGTATAAGTACTCATTCCCTGGCCGGTTCAGTCCTGATCTTGCAGGAAACAGCAGGCTGGGTGTCAGTGGAAAGTGACAGGGACAGAGAACTGAATAAATTCTGACATGAGCCCTCAATGCCGTTTCAGGTGTGGATGCTGTGTAAAGTTGGTTATTCTCCGTGCCTCAGTTTCCTTATCTGTAAATACTAATGTAAACATTGGCTCTCCGTGAAGGTTACATCTGTGGAGCATGGCTGGGAATTCTGGCAACGTCCTGAAGCAGCCTCTGGGTGCTCAGTGGTTTCCGTTCTTGGCTGTGCGGTCTTGCGTCCACTCTAAATGGGGTGAGAGTGTCTGCTAGTGAGACTCCGGAGAGACAGGGGCTGGGCCAGGGAAGGACAGCACACAAGCATTTACTGATGGTGGTGGTTGTGGGCAGATACAGTCCCTAGCTTCAGACCCTGCCCAACTGGCGTGTCCAAAAGCTTGAAAGTCTGCCTCCACTCAGCCAACCTTCTGTCTCACCCCAACAATTTCCTCCTCCCTTCCGGTATCTGGCTCCAGCTTAGAGACTTGGGGCCGTTGCAGGAGTGTAAGAGTCTGCACATGGGTCTAAGGTCTGGCCCTACGCCCCTGGCCTCCTGGCAGAGGGAACTGATTTGCTCGGCTGCTGGCTCTGTTGGCCAAGTGGACGAGGCCTCCATGGGAAGCCCTTCCAGGATGAACCACCTTCTGCCTCCCTACCCTACAGCGTCCTCATGGGAGCCTCTGGCTCCGTGATCTCTGCACCTTCCCCTGCCCACCCTTTCCATCCCTGCCTGCCGGGCAGGTGGGGAAGGATGACCTCTGGGCAAACTGGTCTCACCCTGGATCCCGCCCAGGTCTGCCCACTCCCAGCCCCTCCCCCCCCCTTTGTCCCTTGCCCACCCTACTGGCTGAGCCCTTTCCCAAGTGCCCAGAGTCCCGTCCCTCCTTAGAGCCCAGCCTCACCCTAGAGGCCCCTAATTTGCCCCTCCCGGGGCCCTTTGGAAGAGGGTAGGTGTCGTCTTTCATTCTTTGCCCTCTGTCCCAGTAAGTCTCGCCCAGGGCTGCCACAAGATCAGAAGCTACCTGACCCTATCCCGACAGCCCTGCATCTTGTGACCCAGGGACACACGCCTTCTGTGTTCCTTATTTCCAAATTTAAAAGGGCCGTGTTCCCCAAGACTAGCCATGCCCTCTTACTTCCTTAAGGATGGAGGCCTTTTCCGTTGCTGTTCAGGTCAAGCTTGTGGTCGCCCACCCCCAAGCGCACAGCCCTGCTGTCCCCAGGCCTAGCCCTCTACCTCTCCATGAAGTAAGAGCACCCTGCACTTCACTGTCCCGGGCCAGAGCATCCTTCATCCCTGTCCTGCATCCCGCGCGCCCCCTGCCCCATCTCTTCTTTTCCAGGCTGGCCCCTAACCCAGACCAGCAGTGCCCAGCCTAGTGCCCGGCGGTCCACACATGTGTGTTCTGCAGCAGCTCCCACTTGTGGCTCTGGAAGCTGCGGCTGTGGTCCCAAGCCGCGCGACCCTCCAGCACCTAGAACACGCCAGTGTCCACACCAGGTAAGCCAGATACGAGAGCAGCAGGAGCCCGGTTCTCTAAGAAAACGCCTTCCTGTTTCCCTGTACAAGAGTGCTGGCGGATGGCCCCGCCCACCCTCAAGGATCCAATCCCTGGGACCAAAGGGACCGCTCCCAGAAGAGTGTGGAGTGCCCACCTCCACGTCAGAGGGATGGAGGGGGTCGGGATAGCCCCAGGCAGGGGACGGAAGGGCCCAGAACTCCCCACCCCAGCAGGTCCCTGTAGTCGGAGAGACTCCTGCAACCCACTGTGCAGAGGTAAAACAGCAGTCAAGTTTATTATCACAGGACTCCTGCCCATGTTGAGAGGCCAGGGACTTCATCACCCTGGGTCTACAACCAGCGCACTAAGAGAAGGGAAAGGGACCCCAGGGGGGGGGGGGAGGGGCGGGGTGGCAGGCAAGAGATGGAGACAGAGTGTGCTTGCGGCTTTGGAGGAAGGTCCCTGTGTCTCCACGTCCTCAGAACAGAAGCAGGGGCCAGCATGTGCAGGCAGAGGTAGGTATTGGAGGACTGCAGATTTCAATCCTTTCCTGGGCGGGAGTAGGACTTGGGTGCTGGGAAGCCCCTGCCAACGTGGGTCCTTCCCTGGGACTCCCCTCAACCTCCTGGGCTCACAGTCCCACCCACCCCACCCCTAACTCTGTAAAGAGGACACAGATCTTCCGAAGCCTCTTGCCACCAGGGAGAGGGAGGAAGCCAAGAAAACTTTAATTCCTAACCCTGAGAGCGGGCACTGGGGCAGACTGGGTCAAACCTCCCCCTCCCTTCTGGCCCACAGCGTCACAATCCGGCAGAAGGACCAGGCTTGGATAAAGTGTTCCCTTGGGAGCCCGTGCCACCGGGGAGCTCATATCCTATAAGGCTCCTGGGAGCTGCTCCAGCTTCTGGGGGCCGGGGATGAGGTCTCAGGGTCAGGGGAAGTCACTTCAGGAAAGCAGTGGGACTTAGGAAAGAGGCCCCAAGCGTTGCTTCAGGAACTCTCTCCACGTGTGGGCAAGGGGAGCTGGAGGACTCTAACTGGCAGCCTTCCTGTCCCTCAGCTGTGAGACTCCCGAGGGCAGGCAGCTTCCTGCAGTAAGCGCTCCCGGGTGTGTGTGCCCGCTGCCCTCTCCTGCCACTGCCCTGAACTTTCTTTCTCCCCGGGTTTGCCCCCCTCAAGGCTGCAGATGCCGGGGCTCCTTCAAGACTGAAGACAGGTGAAGGTAAAGGTAGAAACCATCACTGCCATAGCCCAGAGCAAGGCACGGTGCCTGGGACACAGTAGGAGCTTTCTGAGAGCCTAGGATGTATGTAGCAAATAATGCAGGAATCAAGTCCACCTTTGCTTCCTCCCAGTACGTCAAGGCGGCATAAGTGATTTGGCCACTGTGGTCCATATTGGGTTTGATTTTTCTGGGTCCTCTTGGGGAGACAGGGGAGGAGCCCCGAGGCCAGCCTGCACATCTCCATCCATACAGGCCTTGATTTCTGTCTCATCCGTTACTTTGTAGGCTCTCTCTCTCTCTCTGAACAGCTGCTGACCACCTCATCTGGGCTGTGTGTGGTTTGAGATACAAGAGGAAGGGCAGGGAATGTCATGGGTTGGGGAGGGCAGGACCCTTGGGTCTCATGCAGAGATGGGGATTTTCTGTGGTCTAGGGTCAGAGTCAGAGTCTGTTCCGTCCTTGAGGTCCAGGCCTCGGATGAGTAGCCAGAGCCGGGAGCACCTGTGCAGAAGCAGGGATCCCAGGCTGAGGACCACCGCCAGCCACGCCAGCCCCAGCAGGATCCATATAGCTGCCAGGCTCCGGTACACCGCGATGTAATGCTTGCTGGGGTCTGTGCCTGCCAGGGAAGGGTGGTGGCTCGTGTCTGAGGGCACTGTCACCCCCAGCGTCCGTGGGAATGCTGTCTCCCTGGCCCTCATATGAGGGACTAACGATGGAGGAAGTAGTGATAGGTATCACACTAGAGCCTTCTGAGGATGTCACCGAGAGTCCACAGTGACCCCAGAAGTGACCAGCAGGTACCTCCCTGCTCCCCAGCACCCACCAAGGCACCCTGACCATCCCATCCTCACCGACAACATAGTCTCCGAAGCCAATGGTGCTGAGGGTGATGAAGGCAAAATAGAAGCCCTCACGGAAGCTCCAGCCCTCCACGTGGCTGAAGAGCATGGGCGGGAAGATGAGAATGACCAGGGTCCCCAAGGTCAGGAACAGAGCCAGGCCCAGGACCTGCAGGAGCTGGGAGGGGAGAGACGACACTTGAGACCACTTGGAAGGTTCTGAAAGTACATGGGGGAGGTCTGGGTGTGGGCAGGGCAGTAGCTAAGCCTCCCACTCTCTCCCCGGCTGCAGACTTTTGGGTGGGGCTGTGCCCATGGGCATGTGACATGTATGTGCCAAGCTTTCCTGGGCAGGGGAATGTGTTAGCGGGTCAAGGAAGGAGCCAAAGACTCCTTTTGAACTTGAGAATCACACCTGAGCAGACTCCCTGGGGCGCTCAGACCTGGGATAAGACGACTGTCACCCACCGAACTGTCCCAAGTCCCTCTGTGGCAGTAAGCTCTATGGGGCATGCTGGGGACTGCTTTGGACCACGCGTAAGAATGTTGGGTGCCCGTGATGTTCAGATTCTCCACCAAAGAAGGATGCCGCCCAGAGCTGCCTGGCACAGGGCACCATCCTCGCAGGGAAGTCGTACCCAGGCCTGGCCCTCAACCCTTCGCAGGCAGACTCCATAGCCACATGTAACTGCAGAGCCCTTTGAGGCCACGCCCTGCCCAGTCTGCATCCCTTTTCCAGTTCTCTCTCTTCCCAGCCCTGCAGCTTTGCAAACTGACTCAGATGTCTGTATACCCAGCCCATCTCCCAGTTTTCAGCTATCCATCCCAGAGGGCCCGCAGGGGAGGGAGGACTCTACCTTACCTGGGAATGCCGGGGATGACCCTCCCACCTGTCCAGTGTGGTCAGGTGGGCACGCAGGCCTGTGCCCAGGTGGTTGAGGAAGACCACGTTGAGTGGGATGCCCATCAGGGCATAGAAGACACAGAAGACCTGACCTGCCTCCGTGCTGGGCGCCAGGTTTCCGTAGCCTACAGGGCAAGGGAGTGTGCAGATCAAGGGAAGAGGGAGCCCAGAACCACACCCCATCTGCATCTGTGCCCCCCCAGGCAAGCAGAGGCTTGTCTCCATCATCCCTGGGGAATGATCCCTGTCCCCTCCCCCTGGTAAGCAGAGGCTTGTCTCCATCATCTCTGGGGAAGGAGAGGCTCCCTGTCCCCATGGACACTCACCCTATTCTCTGCTAGAACAATCTCTACTTATAGAAGGCTCATCTCCCACGATTCTGCCTCCACGAAGCCCTCCTGACTGCCACCCTCTGCCTCTCTGAGATGTTTCCTGTCATTTTCATCTAATTATGTGTTGCCTTATGTAATCATAGCAATTTATTCCCTCTTTGATGGAAGAAAAACTCTGAAGGCTGGGACAAATCCAGGTCTACACCCTGGCCCCGGCTCTGTCATCCGCCTGGGTTGACAAGGAAGATGAGTGGAAATGGACTTGGGCTTAACTGACTGGAAGGGAGGCCCATGTGAGAGGGGCCTCGGGGCTCATAAGGGGGGAGTAGGGTGCTCTTTCTGTGGTAACCATCTCCTCGGGACACTGGGCCTTGAGGAACAGCCCTGTGCACAAATGCCTCCATCTGGAGTCCCTCCATCTCTCCCTGAGCGGACTCTCACCCCAGGTGTGAGCTTGGTGCACAGGGTTGACACACCAGGACCAGCATCTGCTGGGCAGGACTGAAGTCTCTAGAAGTCAGGCCCTCGTTCCCGCCTTTTACGTTGCCGTGCTGAGGATGGGCTCTGCTTAGCCCAGAGCCTTCAGCCACAGCCAGCTTGTCTGCCCTCGAGTCTCACCTACCCTCTTCCCCGTCTGGGCCTTACATGCCCCTCCGGGAGAGGCCACATCCCTGTCCCAGTGATGGCTCTTGAAGGGCTCCCGAGCTGAGCAGGGCTCAGGGGACCCCTCTCTCCTTTCCCTTTACCTATGGTGGTGACCACTGTGCCTGCATAGAAGAAACTGCTCCCAAAGTCCCAGTTGCTGGGGTTGGTGGAGTTGCCTCTGGGGTTCACGCCTTTCACCCGGGCTTCCAGGACGACCTGTGAAAGTGGCTGGGTTAGTGAGTGCAAGCTGTCACCAAGCTTTCGTGTCTCTCAGATAGCCTTGCTCCTGTTCCACAGAAAATGACGGCGGAGTGGCTAAGACACTGGTTAGAGGCGGACTGGGGTGTGTGCTCTAATGAGCTAGCGGAGGGCCTGAGGAGGTGGCATGGATTTGCTGATAGCTTGAAAGTATTACCCTTACACACGCGCGCACGGGAGGGCACACACACGCGCACACACACACAGAGGGGGAGAGAGAAGGTGAGAAGGTTTTGTGAGAATGTTTCTGGAAGGGTCTGCTGCCAAAATGGGGTCTGGGGCTGCCCTCCCACGCGGCAGGTGGTGAGAGCAAGAGCTTTCCTGGGCATCCAGAGGAAGCTGGTAACCTTGTTCTCTGGTGCCCCCTAGTGAGTACAGCCTGTACCCGCACGAGAAATTCCATCAGAGAGGCCCACAAAAGGGTGTGTGTGTGTGTTTGTGTGTGTGTGTGTGTCTGTCCGTCCGTCCATCTGTCTGTAAGTGGGTATACAATGGTATTGTGTACATGTGGTGTGTAGACCGAATGTGCAGTGCTCTGTGTGTGTGTGTGTGTGTGTGTGTGTGTGTATGTGTGTGTCTATGTTCTGTGCAGCGCTGGGTATGTGTGTGTATGTGTGCTGTATGTGTCTATGTTTTATGTTTCTAGAACAGGAACCTTAATAGGCTTAAGCCTTCACCCTCAACCCCTTATGGGGGAATGGGCAGGTTCGGTCTCCCCAAACTCTAGCCCTCTCCTCTTTAACTGGGAACTTGTCACAGGATGGTGGCAGCTCAGCTTTGATATCTGGTCGTGCCCCAAAGGCAGGGGAACCATTGGGAACCATTGCTCCTGCCTCCCTTTCCTGTGGGAACCTGATTCTTCATAGACGGGCCGGAGGCCTAGACCCGTGTGGCCAGAACTAATCTCTTTCCCACACACCCAGAGTCCTGAGCCTGGCGTTCCAGAGCATGCCCCCTCCCTGGAGACTTTCACTTATGGGGACACCCACTGCACCTCTGAGCCCTCCATCTGTGGGGGAGGGGCTCCGACCCCTCCGAGGGTGGATGAGTGGACTCAGAACCCAGTGGTGAAGGAGAAAGGGCTGATGGACAGACAAGTTTGCTTCCGCGTGGAGCCACATTTGAATACTCAGCTCTGTTTCTGACTCAGTGTGGGGTCCCTTGGGGACTGGGTTCCCCCAAATCTTACCTCCAAGCTCCGCTCGCCCTGGAAGGTAAGAGTCTGTCCTGAGACTGGGGACTTCCAGGGGTGTGTCTGTCCCATCTTTCCCAGGGAGACCCTCGGCTAAGCCCCCTTGGGATGCAGTCGAATCTAGTAAATCCTTGCCCTGTGACTATAGAGCTGGTTCAGGTCTTGCAACCTGTCTGCCAAGTTCTCATTCCTGGTTCCACTTCCAGCTCGGGGAGGCGGGGGAGAGGTTTAGGTGCTTCTGGCTTACTTCTGGGATGTTGGAAAGTAGTACCATCCTGAGTAACTGTAAGTGGAGTATACCCTGGAACAGCAGGGACAGTACCCCCTGCTCACATATCATCCTGTAGGCCAGCGGCTCTCCGTCCCAGGTGAGTCAGCAGGCTGGGTGGGAGCTGACGCTTGCTTTCCTAACGGGCCCTCAGGCGCTGCTGCTGGGGGGCGGGAGGTCCCGCGCTAAGAACCCCCACTTTCAGCAGGACCCTGTCCTCAGCACGTGGACTAGTTTGCCGAGGGAAGGGTAAGGATCTCCACAGCAGGAAGCGAGGCTGTGAGCTCTGCATCCTCGGTCCACACTCTGCCTCTCTCTGAGTTTGGCTCCCGCCTGCAAACTGGAGACACCTGCAGGTGCTCAGCCCCAGGTGCCGTATCCCTACGGACAGAGCCCTGGTCCCCACCCCAGCACACGGGATCATCGTGCCCACCGCCCTTGGTTTGCCGCGATTGGCGCTTGTTCTGCCCATCTTTTCAGTGGGTTGGTCTTGGCCCAAACACCTAGTTTTTCTTTGTTTCTGGCAGGAGGGGCCCAGACAGGGCGTGAGAGCAGCCAGGGTGCCGTCCGTATCCTGGCAGAATTCCCTGCCCATCAGCCCAGCTGGTCCCCACTTTCGTCTGCATCTCCACCCAGGGACATAAGCTGGGAGCCAGCAGATGGAGCCGCAGTCCTGAGAAGTGGGGGAGTGTGGGCGAGGAAATTTCTAGAGAGTTGATAACTGACAGATCATGTTCATTAGGCAAGAGACACTCAGAGGGGGCCTTTAATCCTCTGTCAAATGTTTAGACCACAGACATGCATGTTCTGTGTGTATGTATGTGTGCATGCATATATGTTTGTGTATGTGCAAATAGTTGTGCCTGTGGCCAGAGGTCAACCTCAGGTGTCACTCCTCAGAGCCATCAGCCTTACTTGGTTTTGCCTTGAGACAGAGGCTCTCGCTGAACTAGAGGCTCGACCTGGTTAGGCTGGCCTGGCCTGGCTAGTGAACTCCCAGGATCCACCTGTCTCCCCAACCCAGCCATCCAAGCTGGGTCACAGGTACTTACAGCCATACCCAGAGTCATACATGGGTGCTAAGGGTTCGAGTTCAGGTCCCTACGCTTGTAAAGGAAGTTTTCTTTCATACTAAGCTATCTCCAGCTTTCCACATTTTTTTTTTGAGACAGGCTTTCTCTCACTGGCCTGGGGCCTGCCCATTTGCCAAGGCTGGCTGGTCAGAGAGTCTAGGAGTCTGCCTATCTGGGCCTCTCCAGTCCTGGGATTACAAATCACCCTGCCTGACCTTTGATTTTTTATCTAAAATTAATTTTAATTAGTACACGTGTGTGTACACGTGTGGACATGCGTGTGTCACTGTAAGGGTGTCAAAATTAGGGGACAGCTTTCCAGGAGCTGATTAGGGGACAGCTTTCCAGGAGCTGGTTCTCTCCGTACACCACGTGGGCTCCAGGACTTGAACTCAGGTCATCAGGCTCCATGCCAAGTGCCGTCTTACCTGCCCACACCGGGCTTTGCGGCACGGGGTCTGGGCATCGAGCTGAGGCCCTCGGATTTCTCAGACATTTAACTGACTGAGTCCCCTCCCCAACCCCAGATATGCTCTTTCTTCTCACCTTACCGATTAGACATTTAAGTTAAGTAGCATAGGTCACATAGCAGACCTGCGGGTCAGGGGCTGTACTAGACTCTCCAGGCTCCAGTTTCCTCTGCTTCTGAACAGGAAACCAACCTCTGGGTGGTGGCTCTCCCCGGCCCCTCCGTCCACCTCCCCACTCTTCCTGGCCCATCCTTCCCCGCTCCCTCACCTGCACAAACTGCTCCAGGGCCTGCTGGTCCAGGCAGGTGTAGTTCTCTAAGAAGCGCAGCTTTTCCAGCTGGAACTGGTCTCTGGATTGAGCCTCTGCCTGCTTCTCCAGCAGCTGGAAGATGGTGGCCCCAAGCAGCAGGTAGCAGATGTAGGCCAGAAGCAGGGGCAATACCTGGCCACCCCAGCAGCTACAGAGGCCAGCACGGGGCATGGTGCGGCTAGGACTCTGCAGCAGCTGTCAGGGTGGCTGTGGGGAGCGGCGGTGGCGACAGGAGGTGAGCACCCCTGCTCCTGCCTTCCCTGTCCTCCACCTCACAGGTGTCTGCGGCAGGGGAGTCTGTTTGAACAGCGCGGTGTGCAAACAGGCCGCCATCCCCCACCCAGCCTTGTTTTTCCATGCACAGCAGCAAGGTAGCAAACGCATGGGCCCCTCAGGAACACCTGCAGGCTCCTCCTGGGCACATCTGGTCTCATCCTCTGCTTCCAAGCGAGGCTGAGTCCGCCAGGCGATCTGAAGGGAACTCACTGAGCTGGGTCTAAAAGGGCTCTTGACAACTTCGGACTCCTCACTTGGGAAGGCTCCCAGCACAATACGGGGAGCAGGGAGGGAAGGCTCACAGGGGTGTGGGTTGGCCTTGCTCACCGAATGGAATAGGGAGGACTGTTCTGCCTGTGGGGAAGACCTGATGATGAATCAGCCGGAGTGAAACAGATCAGAGCAGGGTAAACAGGCAGATGACAGCCTTGCTTAGCAGCATTATCAATCAGTTCCACTGATGCACGGGAGGCCCTGGGAACCACCGGGTACCACTTCTGCCAATGGTCTGTCTTGCTTGAGACCCTTGAGCAAGTTATCTGGAGGATGCTGAGTTCGGGAGACGCAAGCGTGGAGAAGCCAGACGTGAGCCGTCACCCCCACAGTGCTGTCAGCGGGTCCTTGCGGCACTGGTGGGCCCGTGGTGCCTTGGTTGGTCTTCATGGACGTGACAGCTTTATTGGCATAGCTCCTGACATACATTGAAAGTGGCCACTCCCACGGTGTCCTTGAAAACACCCGACAAAAGCAACTTCAGGAAGGAAGGGTTTACTGTGGTTCATAGTGTAGGGTTAGCTCATCTCCACAAGGAAAGGCATGGCTGTGGGAGCCTGGGGCAGTCGTGAATTGCATCCACATTGCATCCGCAGTCAGGAGGCAAAGTGAGGTGAGCACTGGCCGTCAGTTGTTATTGTTTTCAAGACAGGGGTTCAAAAAGCCCTGTGTAGCCTCAGCTGTCCTAGAACTCTCCGTATAGACCAGGCTGGCCTCAAACACACACAGATCCGCCTGCTTCTGCCTCCTGAGTCCTGGGGTTAAAGGCATGCGCCACCAACACGCGGCTGCCTTCTCCATTTTCACTCAATCTGGGAGTCCAGTCATTGGTCATCCTGCTTACATTTAGCAAGGATCTTCCCACCTCAATAAATTTAGTCTAGAAACTCTCTTACAGAGCGCTCTCTCTCTCTCTCTCTCTCTCTCTCTCTCTCTCTCTCTCTCTCACACACACACACACACACACACACACACACATACAGGGTTGTCTCCTAGCTGATTTTAGATCCTGTCAAGTTGAGAGTCAACACTGACTGTCGCACATGGTTTGACATGGTTTGTTCTGTATCCACAGGGTCATAAGGCCACATCACTATGGTTTGTTCTGTATCCACAGGGCCATAAGGCCACACCACTATGGTTTGTTCTGTATCCACAGGGTCATAAGGCCACACCACTATGGTTTGTTCTGTATCCACAGGGCCATAAGGCCACACCACTATCAAAGAAGGACCTCCTCCTATGTTGGCCATTGCTCCTCACTTCACCCAAGTCTGCTCGCCAGCCTGTGGGAACCTGTCTTCTGCCTCTAATAGACTTCCCTATTCTGGAAATTTCATGTAAAAGAAACGTGACAGAGGTGAGGTCTAGGTCCTCTTCTCTGCCTTTTTCTCTTGGTGTTTCCTGGCTCTGATCTCATGTGAAAAGGCAGGGTGTCCATGAGAGCATTTACATGGTGGTCATGTCACAGCTGTCCAGTACCAGATGGGACATATTAGGGTCAAGTCATTAAGCAGACAGGATTCTAGAACTGAGCTGCCCCCGTCAAAAGGGACGTGAGCCTCACAGGTGTGGCCATCAACTAGAAGAAGCTGTGGTGTTAAGATGCTGTGGCTAGCCTGTCAAGACAAACAACCCCCCTACTTCTGTGCCGAGGGACGATGAAAGAATGCACATGCTGGTGGTAGAATGTAGTAATCTGAATAAAAACGCCCCCAGAGGCTCATAGATGTAAATGCTCAGTCCCTAGTTGCTTGAACTGTTTTGGAAGGATCGGGAGGTATGGCCTTGTTGGAGGCAGTGTGTCACCATCCCATGTCAGGCCTAGTTAGTGTTCCCTCTGCCTCATGCTTGTGGATCAAGATGTAGGGTCTCAGCTACTGCTACAAGTGTCACACCATGTCTGCCTGCCGGCTGCAGTGTTCCTGGCCATGTAGAAATAGACTCACCCCCTGAAACTGTAAGCCAGGCCCCAGCAATCTTTCTTCTATACGTTTCTTTGGTCACGGTGTCTCTTAACAAAACTAGAAAAGTAACTAAGACAGGGGCCTACAGAAAACCAAAACAAGGGAGAGCATTTTTATGATTTTCAAGTTTATGAGAGAAAGAGTAACATAGGGTTTCTCCTCTGCTACAAGGCCCAGTATAGAACACAGCACAACATTACAGGCGTGAGGTGAGGCAGGGGCATGGCTGCTTGGTATTAAGAGCAAGAACAGGTGTGGTCTGTTTTGGAGGGAATGTGAGGAGAGCTGGGGAGTCATCTTTTCTGAAACCTCCTGCTGGTTCTGTTTCTGATGCTTCCAGGATGGGATCTCTCTCAAGAACACAGTCACTGGCTCGGCAGTGGTGATGGTGCACGCCTTTAATCCTAGCACTCGGGAGGCAGAGGCAGGCGGATCTCTGAGTTTGAAGTCAGCCTGGTCTACAGAGCGAGTTCCAGGACAGCCTCCAAAACAATACAGAGAAACCTGTCTCGAACCCCCCCCCCAAAAAAACAACCCACAGTCACGTGGTTGGGGAACTTCTGAAAGCTCATTGTTTTGAGACAGTGTCTTTATTTATTTATTTATTTATTTATTTATTTATTTATTTATTTATTTTGGTTTTTCGAGACAGGGTTTCTCTGTGGCTTTGGAGGCTGTCTGGAGTGAGCAGACACTTTTTCTCATCTTCCCAGGGAAAGCCACAGAACCCTCCCTCCATCCCTTCTTCCCTCCATCCTTTCTTCCCTCCCTCCCTTCTTCTACAACCCACAGTGAGTGTCCTCTGTGTGTTGGGGTCTGCCAGCCTTTGATTTCTGGGCTATCAGATCCTCCCCACGTCCTAGCCCAAGTATCTCCCTATGTAGACAGTGCCCCACTGTGAGCGAGGACTAGACACAAGGCATGATTTATAGCCCCTTTCAGGGAATTATTACTGCTAACGGGCAGAGACAATTTGTGCTTCCCAAGTGGGGAGGGCAAAATCAATTAATGACAAACATAAAATGGCCAGGCAGCCTGGATGGCAGAGCGTGGTCTAACATCTGGAGGTGATAAGAGATTTTCTGAAGCTGAACTAATAGAGAGATTAGAGGGGGAAAAAAACTCAGATCAATCCCATGTACAATGGTCAGAGAATCCAGAGTAAACAGAGTAGATGGGCTTCGGCTTTCCTTCCATCTGGATGAGCCCTGAGATAAGGGAAAGGCCACCCACCCGATCATCAACATAGGTATTTGCTTATGGATTCACTCAACCGACATGGCTGCAGAGGGGTGAAAGAGAGCTTTCCAAACAGAAGCCAAGGGGGGAGGATGAGGCCCACACGCCCCAGCTTGGCGTCCTGTATGAGAAAGGGCAGGAGAGAGAAGGGGCTACCTTAGTGGCTCAGCTAACAGAACCAGTGGCTGAAACTTGTAGGCAAGGGTGTTGGGGGCTCCCGGAAGTCCCCTTGCTGTAAGAGAACATTCTGTGTGGGGCAGATAATGCAGGTCTCCGTGGGTCTTTATCTAACTGAGAAGTTGATTTCAGAGGAGGCTCAGCTTGCTGTGACCACAAGTGAGGATGTGGGAGGATTTGAGGGGACTCTTCAACTAAGTAAGCAGGCGTGCCTAGTGTTGAATTTTTAAAGATTTATTTATTGTATTATTTCATGTGCATACATGATTTGCTTGCATGAATGTGTGTATACCGTGTGTGTGTGTGTGTGTGTGTGTGTGTGTGTGTGTGTGTGTATCCCCTAGACTGAGTTACAGGTGGTTGTGAGCCCTTGTGTTGAAATTTCTTGTCAAGTTAACATAAGCTAAAGTCATCTGAGAGAAGACCGGACATCAGTTAAGAAGACACCTTCATAAGATGGGGCTCGAGGAAAGCATATAGGGCGTTTTCTTCATCAGCGGTTGGTGGAGGAGGGCCCGGGGCATTGTGACTGGTGTCATCCCTAGGCTGGCATCTACAAGTGAGCAGAATGAGCAATACATGTGGAGCAAGCCAGTAAGCAGCCCTCCTCCATGACCTCTACATCAGCTCCTGTCTCCAGGTTCCTGCCCTGCTTGAGTTCCTGTCCTGACTTCCTTCAGTGATGAACAGTGAAATGGAAATGTAAGCCAAATAAACCCTTTCATTGTTTATGATCTAACAAAGTCAATGAAGATCAGAAAAGCAAAGCAGCCAGCCACTAGCTCTCACCCCTACCTCAGACAGAAATGGGTGACCCTGTCTCCACAATCTTTAGAGGCTCTCCCTGTCTGGAAACCAAATCTTACATGAGACCTTCGCTTCTTCCTTTTATATCTCCCTAGTGCTGGGATTAAAGGCGTGAGCTCTGTGTCTCTTTTAGACTGATTCACTCTTGTGTAGCCCTGGGTGGCCTTGAACTCACAGAGGTCCATCTGCCTGTCTCCTGAGTCCTGGGATTAAAGGTGTGTATCAACACTGTCTGGCTCTATGGCTGTGTCTGGCTTTGCATTTTGATCCCCAGTGGCTTTATTAGATCATAAACAATATTTTACTACATTCCTCCTCGAGTTCCTTTTGCACATGGTGTTTTATCACAGCAATAGTAGCCCTAAATAAGATAACCATCATGTGGATGCTGGGAATTGAACCCAGGTCCCTGCCAGAGCAGTCAGTCCTTTAATCTTGCTCAGTCTTAGCAGTTATTTCTGGAAGGAACATGGTAGGTTTTGGAGGGGGGATTGTTTTGTTGTGATTGTTTGTTTTTAAATACAGAATCCGAGCCTCAACTTGAAGCATGGTTGAGAGATAGAATTGAGAAGACTCTCATCACTTTCCACAGCCCAAGGTTCATTTGAACACCCCCACATCCACAATTCTGATGTCCTGGCCAACACTGGGCTTTCAAAGACCAGGTCTAGAATGGCATGAGGTTGTTCATCTGGCAAGTGACCCCAGAAGCTGCAGCAGAGGAGTCAGAGGGAGGCAAGGATGAGTTGCAGGTAGAATACTGCTGTAGGCACCGGAGCTTGACCCCACTGGGACACCTGGGAGACGCTACAGTACACTTGAGAGTGTTCACGGAGCAGAAAGAAACTGGGTGCTTGCCCACTACCCCTCTGCCTCCCCATGGAGACTGCACCGAAGATGCCAACTGTTCTAACTTGTTTCCTGTTGCTGGGATAACGCCACAACAAAAAAAGAAACGGCTTAGAAAGAGAAAAGGTTTATTTCCGTTTACATCATGAAGAGAAGCCAGGGCGGGAGTCTGGAGGCAGAAACAGAAGCAGAGACCAGAGGAGCGCTGCTTGCCAGCTTGCTCCCATGGGTGGAGCTCCGGAGTCAGTGAAGGGTTAAAGTGAGCTGAGTGGCAGCATTCATCCATCCCAGCTGCCTGATTACAGATGTGTGACCAGCTGCCTCAGGTTCCCGTTTCCCTACCGCACCGGACTGTGTCTCATGAAAACGTAAGTCAGAATTCCTCTTTCCTCGTCTTTGTTGTTGTTGTGAGCCTAGCCTTTAACAACCGAGCCATCTCCCCAGCCCAAATTCTTTCTTTCTTAAGATGCTTTAGCAGGTATTTTGTCATATTGACGTCAGGCAGCTAATACAGTAGATATTAGTATGCATCTCACAAACCAGTGAGTTTTGTTGTGAGTCTCCATACATACATATGATACACTGTGGTCATGTCCCCCCATTGCCCATTCTTGCCCTCATTCTGCCCTTGCCCCCTTCACTTCTGCTTTCTTATGTTGAAAACACTTTGGAGACTGCTGAAAAAGAAAATGCAGTGCCCAAAACAGAAACTCGGGTGAGGTTAGTGACCCACTTGTGTACAGTAAGAGTAATGGAAGAGAAGAAGTTCTTACAGATTTATTCATTTTCTAATCAGCTCACTGGAAGATAGGCTTCGTCCCTTTAGGACATCTGGTTGACCCCACACATGTGTTTTGAAACACTCCATTGAAGAAGCAGAACAGAACTGAGGTCCACATGGAGTCTCTCCTGGGCCAGCCATGGTTCCTATAGATTTTGCTGTTGGTAATGTCTGATCCTCACACCAGAGGGACACTTAACAGCTTTCTAGCAAAGTGCCTCCAAGTCCATGGAACACAGCTGAGGGCAGATATATTTTCTGTACTCTAAAGGCAATGGTGAAAAAGGCTAGCACATAAGATGTTTTAGAGAAATTATGACATGACCCAGGGCCAGAGAAGCAATGGGGCTAGCCTGGGGAAGGGCTGCCTTCTTGAGACGAGGAATGAGGAAGTGGAGCAAGAGAGAACCAAGGCAGCCTGCTGTCCGCTCTTTGTCTAAAGCTGCTTAGCCTGCTGGCTGGTGTTGAGCCGTGGAAGCCTTAAAAAAAAAAATCCAAGGGTCCTTCCTAGTGCGTCTTGGCATCTCCTTCTGTGTCTTTTGTGATTTATCCAGGGCCATGGGCAAAAGCTACTATCCGCACAGCTAGAACTGTATTCAAGGAAACCCTACTCTCACACATTTTACACATACAAGGTCAACTGATAACACTCATGGTCAACCCTTCTCTACACTCCATGCATTAATACCCTGACAGCCCCTAGACATGTGTCACAGAGCACTATCCCTTTGCGTTCCCATTTGGCCTGAATCCCCCCAAATCCCTTGTGTACACACTCCGTGGCCCATGGCTGCCCACACCAGGGGACGACTAACCTGTCCTGTGCTGTGCCTTCCTCTGCTGCACTCCCATTCTTACCCAGCAAGCTCAGCCCGTCCTAACCTACCCTGCCTCTTCCCATCAGATTCTCCTGCATGTTTGTTTAACGTTATCACCCTCATTACAATGCAAGGTCCTGTGCTTGCTCTGACTTTGTCGCCCACCTTGGTCCTGGTGGCTAGTCCTGTCTTCATTAAAAGAATGACCAGGTGAGTGAACCAGTTCCTAGGTAAGGAACTGAGAAGGGAGTCTCTGCCTCTACTGCAATGCAGATATGTTGGTCAAAGGAAGTCCTCGTCTTCGCACGCCGTCACTCGTGTCCTTCCTTGAGGCTGCTTCGGTAGTTTTATATCCTTCTGATGGACATAGCCCCCCCTTTCTCCTGGAGATCAATGCCCTGCACTCCTTGTTATCTCCGGTCTAAAAGCTGTTGCTTTGTATATGTTGTCTAGTTTCAGCCGTAAAGGAGAGTAAATTAGCTCCTACCGTGGCTCATGGCTACAAGCAGCAGATACAACAGGTCTGAAGTATCTTTCAATACATTGAAGAACTACGTTGTTACAGTGAGGACGGCACATGGAGTGTATGTGAGGGGTATGCAAGCCACACTCAGCGGTGGAGATCAGAGGGCTACTTGCAGGAGTCAGCCTTCTTTCTTCTAGGTGGGTCCTGTAGATCAAACTCAGGCCATCGGGGTTGGCAGCAAACACCTTTACTTGCTGTGTCATCTCTTTGGCCTCCAGGAATCCTCTTTTGCAGATCCCAGAAAGCCCTCCCACCCTACTCTTCTTATGGAGGGAGTGGCAGAGCTGAACTCTATCTGGGACTAGACCAGGGTCACCATCCAGGTTAGTTTCCAGAGAGCCCCTTTATCTCCACATTTGGACTCAGACACTCCCTGCCCCTGCTCCACAGGGCTTAGTTGGAGTGTCGGAGCATCTGTTCAAAGCATTCATCCCTTCCTCCTTACATCCATGACATACAAAAGTGTGAGCCCTGAGGGATGGAGAAATGGGTTAGCAGTTAAGAGCACCCACTGCTCTTCCAGAGGCCCTGAGTTCAATTCCCAGCAATCACGAGGTGGCTCACAACCATCTATAATGGGGTGCCTCTCTCTTCTGGCATGCAGGCATACATGCAGATAGAGTACTCATAGACATCAAATAAATAAATAATAAAATCTTTAAAAAAGAGCGTGCATGGGTGATATATACTTCATCTGGGTAAAGTCTGGCTAATATGATAGGTACAAGAGGGAATTTCTGACATCTTTTGGATGGAATGATGTACACGGTGTTTTAAAGTGTTTCACTAATCCCAGCGCTCTAGAGGCAAAGGCAGGTGAATCTCTGTGAGTTCAAGGCCAGCCTGGTCTATAGAGTGAGTTCCAGGACAGCCAGGGCTACACAGAGACGCCCTGTCTCAAAAAACAAAACAAAATTTCAGTGCACAGGAATACTGAGGGGTGAGGTCGGTGAGGACACAGCAAAGAGTTATCTGCAGTCAGCCAGAAGTGGACTGTGGGGCATGGCCGTGAGCGAGGATGGTGAGCTCTGTGTGTGTGATATTACTGAGCCAGAACGGGCGATCACCACAGCCTCCTGACCGTGGGGAGTAAGAGCGTAAAACAGCATGGCTTGTACCTGCAGCTCTGAGGGGCTAGCACTGTGTGAGACCCCATTGTGGGATTCAGCAGGAATTGTTCTTATTTTTTTAGCGTATTTTTAATCCATCGATTAAGTAAGTGGTTAATTAATTTGTTTATGGCATGTGCGCGCCTTCACATTGTGTGTGGAGCGGTCAGAAGGCAACCTATGCGCGCTGGTTTTCTCCTTTTCGAATGCAGACACTGAAGACGGAATTTGGTCGTGAGCCTCCGCAGCAAGCAGCCTTTAAGGCGGAGTCATCTCACTGGCTTTTTCATATATATATTCCACCCTGTCCTAACCCAGCTCTAGGGCAGGAAGGGAGTCAAGGCATGTCCTAGCTAAAAAGGTTATGTGCTCAGCTCTGAAGCCTTTTAGACACCCCGGGACACGCTCCAGGACATGGCATTGAAATCTCTGGGGAGCCGCCCAGCAATTCAGTGAGAGCTGAATCCCGGTTTCATGAGTCCCGCCTAAGGACCAGTGTGGTCAGCCCCGGGACCACACTGATGTTTCCTCTAACGAGCGGCCTGGGCTGGGATTGGTTGGTGCGGCTGTTGAAAGATGGCTGGGAGCCTGAGCCAGCTCCAACCTCAGAGCCCAGGAGCTTGAGAAGGGACGGCACACAGCAGAGCTGAGAACACACCATAGGGCGCGGCTCCTCACCGGAACAAGCCACCGGACAGCCACACGTCAATGGACCACCACACAGCTCTCCAGGCACCATGTCTGAGTCCCGGCTTAGTGACGGATCTGGAGTAGCGCTGGGGCTGGCATGGTGATGTATCCCTGAAATCGAGGGTATAGTCACAGACATGTCACTAGGATGGGGCCAGGTCTTATCACCAAGGAAGGTCCCCTTCCCTGCTGCCAATTCTGGTGCCTGGTACATTAGGAAAGACTCTGAGGGATTTTATCTCTGAAGAGGTTCACTGGCCAAGTGAGGGTGGAGGCTGCCCGTGGCAGACACTGAGACACTCATGAGCACCTGCTCAAGGCCACAAATGACAGACATAGCCCTGGGACTGAGGCCTTGTCCCTCCGAATCCCCTGAGCACTCTTTCTGACCTCAGGAAGCGATCCAGAACCCAAATGGGAATTGGAGGTTTGTTGGGAGGGACAAAAGCCCCTGGCAGGCCTTTTCCTGGCATCTCTTAGAAGAAGGGAATTGTGGGTATGGGATTGCTCCAAGGGACTTTTCTGGATGGAAACTCTTCCAAATTTGAACATTAAGAGAAGACTACAGGAGGGACCTCCAGAAAGGAGTCAACCTCATTTCCTCAGATGTAAAACCCCGTGCTTGGCAGAGGAAGGACAGGTCTGGTGCCATGGATGACCAATGCCCCTGTTGGGGACATACACCTGTCTGCAGGTGCCCCTGGCAGGGACTTAAACTTCCCCTGGCACTTCCATGAGTCCTAAATCAAGCTGACTCATCCTGGCTCCTAGCGAATGCTCAGAGCAGGGAGCCTTATGCTAAGTTGCCCTCTGGGCTCCTGTTTCCGCTGTAGTCACAAATGCCCAGTAACGGGTCCTGGGAAGAAGCCACAACAGGCAGCACGAAGGGGCAGCATGCTAAATTAAGAGCAGATAACCCCAGCAAAGCAGGGTGTTTGCTTTGGTGGGAGGTGCTGGCCTGGCTGCTTGGCGGTGGAACCTGATATATGCTATGTAATGGGTCCTGCTGTGTGTCTGGACAGGCCCTGACTGGGTGGGAGACGGCCCTAGCATCCGCTCAATTATTTCCCTTGAGTCTGCGTGGTCACTAAGAAGCAAGGACTTTTTTTCCATTAGAGAATAAAAACTGGATCCTGGGACATGTGTGTGTGTTGATGAATTACTCCAGGCTGCTGTTAGGACAATAATGCCCCGGCTGCAGGGTACTGGAGGCTGCAGCTCTGCCTCTAATCCGCCCTGTTCTCTGAGGGCAAAAAGCACAGCAGAGAGGGCAGCTCTTGCTGCTGTGCCTTTAAAGACAGTGCAGCCCAGTGGAGAGAGCAGAACACCTGGGTTACATTAGCTGCACAGCCTTGGAAATTTCCTCAACTGCCTCTGTTTCCTTGTTTGTCAGAATAGCGGTCAAACTCTTGCCTCTGTGTGCCTTAGGGGTGTGGGTATATTGACAGCATAGAAATGCAGTGATGTAAATGGTAACCTTTGTCAGTGCCAACTTACTCTGTGTGTGTGTGTGTGTGTGTGAGGCTAAAGTTTGACCTTGGGTTATTCCTCAGATGACATCTATTTTTTACATTAATTAATATATTTATAGACTGTTCCATGGCCCTGATTTGGAGGTCAGAAGGTGGCTTGCAGGAGTTGCTTCTCTCCTTCTGTCACAAGGATTGTCAGGCTTAGCAGCGAGGTCATTTACCTGTGACTCATTTCTGAGGTCTCATTTCGCATCCTTGATGGAAAAAGCTGGGCACAGTGGCCTGCACTTACAATCCCAGCACTGGGGAGGCATAGACAAGCAGATCCCCGGGGACTGACGGTGAACCAGCATAGTCCACTTGGAGACAAGCTGAGAGAGCTTGTCTCAAAAACCCGTGCGGACAGTACCTGAGGGATGATGCCCAAGGTTTTCCAATGGCCTACACACACACCACACACACACACACACACACACACACCACACACACACACACACATACACACACACACACACACACATACACACACACCTGCTCTGTCTAGCTGGTTAACAATGTCTGCTCTTCTTCTCCTAATAATCTAGATATATATTAGCAACATTCAGGATTTAGTAACCTTTGTCCCCTACAGTCTAACTGCCAGTCTGTGATTCTCTTAAAGTATAAGTCAAGTCCTCTCGTTCTGTTTAAGTCCTTCGGTGACATTCCGCCTGCCCCTCTCGGAATAAGACCTCATCTCCAAAACCATGATCTGTCCTAGCTTTCTTTTTTATTTTACTTTTTCTTTTTATGTTTATATATACATCTGTGTACCACTTTCCAGCAGTCCCCTCAGAGGCCAGAAGAGGGCCTCAGATCCCTTGGAATTAGAGTTCCATACTGGGACTGGGAATTGAACCTAGGTCCTCTGTAAGGACAGCCGGGGCTCTAAACCACTGTGCCATCTCTCCAGTCCCGGGCCTATCCTTTCTTTAAGCTGCCAGGAACATTTCCACCCCAGGGCCTTTGCAGGAGCTCACTTTATACTTTCCTCTTTCGTTCTTTCTTTCTTTCTTTCTTTCTTTCTTTCTTTCTTTCTTTCTTTCTTTCTTTTTTTGATACAGGGTTTCTCTATATTGTTTTGGAGGCTGTCGGTCCAGCCCAGCCTTGAACTCACAGAGATCTGCCTGCCTCTGCCTCCTGAGTGCTGGGATTAAAGGCGTGTACCACCACCGCCCGGCCTTTTTTTTTTTTTTTTAAATACAGGGTTTCTCTGTATTGTTTTGGAGGCTGTCCTGGAATTTGCTGTGTAGACCAGGCTGGCCTGAACTCACAGAGATCCGCCTGCCTCTGCCTCCCGAGTGCTGGGATTAAAAGTGTGTGACACCACTGCCCAGCTCACTTTATTCTTTCCACAAGTCTCTCCCCATAATTTGGCTATGCCTGTCACCTCCTTCAAGCTCTTTATTCAAATGTTGCCTTAACAACGAGGCTAATGGTGGGGCAGTGGTGGCACATGCCTTTAATCCTAGCACTTGGGAGGCAGAGGCAGGCGGATCTCAGTGAGTTGGAGGCCTGCCTGGTCTTCAAAGGTAGTTCCAGGACAGCCTCCAAAGCCACACAGAGAAACCCTGTCTCAAAAACAAAACAAGCAAACAAAAAATGAGGTTAACTGTCCTACACAAAATGGCAAAATCATTCTTCCTCTTAACATGTTTTAATTTCCCTCCAGCACTTACAACCATCTGAATAGTTACATGTTTTGTTGTTTCCTCCCATAGAATTTGATTTACATGGGGGTAGAAGTTTTTATGTATTCTGTGCTTTTAACTCATTAATTATATTTTGAGGGGCTAGGGAAATGGATCAGTGGTTAGCAGCACTGGCTTCTCCACCCAAGAATCTGTGTTTAGTTCCCAACACCCACATTTGAAGGTAACAACCATCCTTAACTCCGAGTTCCAGGGGACTGATACCCCCTTCTAGTCTGTGGTCATACCACCCTGAACACACCTGATACCGCCTCTGGCTCTCAAGGACACCAGAGATGTACATGATACATGGACACACTTGCAGGTGCAACACCCGCACACAAAGATGAAACACCGACACTAAATAACCAGATTTTGAGTGAGTTGCCTGCAGCACTGGCTTTCCACACGAGCGAGCTGCTCCTGCAGTGAGAGAGGCACCCCAGAAGCGTTGCTGGAGGTTGCTGCTAAACAAATGCTGGCTGGTTTGACTGTTCAATCATGTTAGGAATATACCAAAAGTTTGCATATGCCTACGTGCAGCCCGCTCTTACCATTTGTTTTGAGACAGGATCTCTCTATGCACCTTTGGATAACCTATAACGTATTATGTACACCAGGGTGTTCTCAAATTTAGAGAGCTTTACCTCTGTCTTCTGGGATTAAAGGCAGGCCTGGAACTCCTAGCCTTTAAAAAAAAGTTTGTTTTTGTTTTTGGGGTGTGTGTGGTGTGTGTGTATGTGTGTGTACACGCGCGCGCATGCATATGTATACATGGGTTCGTGTGCATGGGTACGTGTGTGTCCATGAGGTGCATGTTCGAGTATGTGGGTGTAGAGGGTGAAGTTGACATTGAATGTCTTCCTCCATGGCTCTCCCCTTTGTTTGTTGAAGCAGGGTCTCTCACTGAACCTGGAGCTCACCAATTCAGCTAAGCAACATCTAAGTAACACCTCCAGCCCAGAAGAGCCGGATACTACGACAGCTATTTGGTTGTTGTGGTTTTCATTATACATTTTGACAACTGTGGTTAACTTTGCTATCCAAGGTCAGGACTCCGTGCCTGGAAAATTGAACTACAATTCCCAGAGTGCCTCTCTAATCTCTCGGGGAATGCTGGGAAGTGTGGCAGAGGATTTTGTTTTTTCCCAATTACAGTTACTGTCGCAGGCATAGTTTCGTTTCCCAGAGAGCCGCTTTAGGAGGATTCTGGGAGGAGTGGCAGAAGCATCAGTCCCTCAGGGAAGGGAAACGAGAAACCATTTGAACTCGGACATTCGGCGTTCCCTGGGGTTTGCAGACTGTTGGGGCATAGGAGACACCCCGAAAAGAATTCAGAGTGAGTACAGTGAAACGGAACCTGTTCTAAGCGCGTCCAGGATGTAGTAAGGAGTCATAGTCAGAACTGACAGACGCCCTCGGTTACGGTGTTTGAGTTTTTAAGGGTTTCTAATTTCGAGAAACGGGACCGTTTTGCACTCAACATTGAGTACCTCAGATGACTTTTCTGAAACGTTTTTGGAGAGCTACTTAAACGTGGAGCTTTCCCATTTCTCACCCTTTCTCTTAATCTTTGAAGCGGCGGTGGGATCTTTTAGAAATAAACCGTAAAGCTTTTCATATAGCCAAGACCGTGAAGTTGCATCACGGCGGCTCCGCATCCTTCCCAGCCGGCTCCAAGTCCACAGTGGGACGGACGCTTCCAGAACTCTCCCAAACCCGAGCAGCCGTGTCTGCCTCTGCAGGGTTCCTGAGCCTTCAGGCCCTTGTAATCAATTTAGTAACAGACATTGGGCAAGACATCAATCAGGCAGCTACACAGTGGGCCATGCAGACTAGGGAGTAGCTACAGCCACAACAAAGTAGCTTTTGCATTTCCCAGGATCTGTGAACCTCAC